GAAGACCGTTGGTATCAAAGAAGTTCATTGAGTATTATAAAGCACCTCTATATTATTACTTCCCACTTGAAATGCATGATCGGACTGATGATATTTTAATTATATAGTCCTCAAGCGTACTGCCTCCATCTTTATATATAAAATATTTGTTAAAAGTTTATTTTATCCCTTATATAAAGGGTGTTATAATATTTTTAAATAATTAAATAATTTTATTATTGTTTTAAAAAATGAGAAGAAATATTAATTGTGAGCTTTAATTTACTCATTATCGTCATGATATTAATTCACATTATTAGGTGAAAGTTTACAATGATTTAATGGGATTTCATTTAAATAACAAACTTTATTAATATATATAATTCAATTAAAAATACCTTATTATACGAACCGAGGGAGTACTACTTATATGTACAAATTATAGGTTTTATATATAGAGTTTGGTTTTAAGTGTTGAGTGGCTCTCTCTGATTCTTACTACAAGTTATTTTTTAGAAGAGATTGATTGTCCTTGATGTAGCGAATTTGATGGGGGTAATAGTTACATTTTTTCAATATCATTCCTATTTAAGCTCATTAACTATGAGAGAGAAGATAATGCAAATTTAAATTTTTTTTATTTAAATATAGGTAAAATTAAAAATTTATATTTATTTTAGATAAAGGTAATGACTTAATCCCTTCTTATTGATTCCATTGAGATGGTTAAAAATGTCTTATAATAGGAATCGAAAGAGTGAACAATTTCCTTTTCATTTGCTGCCAAAAAATATTTCTTTTTCATCATTTAACATTCTTTGAATTTTTTTATTAGGTACATGCGTATTCCCCTTATAAATAATCATATTTGACACATGATCAAGTTCTAAACATGGGCACTACATTCATATTAATCATCAATCAATCAATCAATAACTATAAAAATTGAAGTTTTAGTTTTAAAATGAACTTAGCCATTAGCATCTTCCGGCGTTAATTTTTTTTTTTGATAATCCTTTAAATTGTGCTATGAAATAAATTTGATGTTTGAAAACTTAAATTGTTATCTAAAAAATATGGTTCTCTGTATCTGTAATATTCAAAAACTTTGATAAGGGTATCTCTGTTGGAAAGTGGTCTCACCATGGCGGCCAATTTTAGGGAAGCCCAAGAATAATTGGGCTTGATTTAAATCCGGCCCATTTTCCCACCGTCCCCGTGCTTTTATGAGTATGACCACTCTGCTAAAAAATAATAATAATAATAATAATAGAGAGAGCAAGAAGAGGAGTCAAGCGTTGCTCCTTGTAATTTATATTAACAACATGCATTAATATATAGATGTGAATATTCTAAAATGAAATTCTTAAATCATATATATATATATATATTTAAAAAAAGGTAAAAATAAGGGAAAACATATTTTTTGATTCTTGTACTTTACTTGTGTTTTGTTATGGGTTTTTTACAGTGTTTTTTTTTTTTTTTACATTTTGGATCCCTACATTTTTATTTTTGATATTTTACATTCATTTAAAGTCCTTATAATTTGTTTATTTAGGGACCTAGTACACCAAAAAATGAAAGTATAGGAATTTAACATGTTAAAAAAAGTGCAAGAATTAAAATATATGTTTTTTAAAAAATAATTATATCTTAGAAGACTGATTTTTTTTTGTAATTTTAACATGGTATTTTTAAAAGTATCTTACAATACTATATGAGGGGCATGTAAATTTTTGTCAACACTTCTTATGAATGGAGTTCATTCATGGATGGAAGAAGGCTGGAAGCACAATACAATGGATAGGGTTAGATATTTAGAAGGGTCCTGCGTGACATTGAACCGCGAAATTTACTAAAATAGGACAGAAATAATATAAAGAAATTCACGTGACTTTTTCCCCTTTATATATATATATATATTATATAATAAGGGTATCCCACTCGCACCTTGCCTATACATGTAACGGGTGTGCTCATTTGAAGAATAATTTTTTTATTGAAAATAATAATCTACGAGCCATAATCGAGTATTAAATATAAACATTTATCTTAACAAAAATTTAAATTTATTTATATATTATGAGAAATTAAATTCTTCCATAATTCTATTAAATTCAATCCTCATTAATTATTGGAGAATAAATAAAAGTGGTGGAAACAATAAAGCAGATGTAAAATATCTTGTGGGTATAGCCCACCTTATCAATGTTATGTTTAATGCCATGTCCACATACTTTCGCCCCACTTTTTGCATCTCACAAGGTCATGATTGTCATCCCACACCCGTCTCTCACATTCCTAGCCCGTCTCATTTCAAATTATTAAATTACTTAAAATTAAAATTGCATAAATACTAAAATTTAACTCAAAGTGCCTTATTGAAGAGAGTAGCTTAATTCTCTGATCCCCAAATCGTTATCCCTATAATTTATTGCAAGTTTTTGGTTATGGAGTTATGGACCTCACTCATTACAAGATTCGCGTCATCTTTGTCAATCCTTTTCAATGTGTACCTTTTTATGTATAGTATTCCCTTCAATCTTTAAAACATGTCATCTCTAACTACTTACGTCCCATTTGGTAGCTTGGAATTATAGAGAAAGAAATGGAATTGAATATGAAATCTAGTAACATGTGTGTTTGGTATGCAATAATTATGATTTTTTAAAATCTGGATTCAAGAAAATTTGGCAGAATCCAATTCCATCACATGCATCATGGAATCCGATTCCATGATTTCCTTTCTCCAGTTTGCCCTTTCTCCCTCCTCCACGATTTCCTTCTTCCTCCTCTACGAACCATCTCCTTCTCAATGCAGAAGCATCGTTCTTCTTCCTTGCCTTCATCTCTTTCCTTTAGCGATAAATGGTTTCTTCCTCATCGTTCGTGCATTCTCACCGTCGATAAAGTGCCCGTCACCTCTCTCTCTCTCTCTCTCTCTCTCTCTCTCTCTCTCTGTGAGCGCTCTTGGTTTGACGATGATGATGAAGAACCGAGCAGTAGTGGACGGTGCAACAGTTGTCATTGTCACCCTGCTCAAAAGACATCATCATCTGTATCGATCTCCTCCTCTCTTCTTTTTTGGTCTTCATCTTCTTATTCAGTCAGGTGTTGCTGGAGAAGAAGAAGAAAGCAGTGACGATGAACCATGAGAAGGCAGCGACAGACTGTAGGAGGGGGTCCTTGCCGGAGAAGAAGAAGAAGGGTAGGGGGTCCTTGCCGGCGCAGTGACGGATGGCGGCAAGGATGCTCATTAGATGAGGAGGAGGAGGAGGTAATGACGTGATGCAGAAGGAGAGGAATGGAATTGTTGGGCTAATGGGGATAATTTTTTTTTAATTTTAAAAAGGGCACTTTGGTCTTTTCTTATTTTAAGTATTTATATTTTATTAAAATTATATCAAAATTCCATCATCATATCAAACACACTGTTAAATTCAATTTTATTTCAATTTTAATTTCAATTCCGATTTCGATTTTGATTCCATCAAAAACTCTTTCATCATATCAAACATGACCTTAGTACTTACACATATTGAGAATTAAGAAAATAATTTAAAAGCTGATTACATTCTTTCATTAATGTAAGAGTTCGTTACATTCTTGATTTTTCAAAAAATTCCAATAGTTTTTAATATTGCCTTTGTTAAATAAACATTTCTTAGTTTTCTCTATTATCACATACTTCTTCCCTGCAGACTATACTATAAGTTATTGTTAATTAATTTATTTTTTATAAAAATTAAGCTAGTTAAAATATTAATTTTCTAAAATAAAATTCCCACATCTTTTCAATAATATCTTTGAGTGTAATAAATATAATATTTAATTTATTCAAAAAACCCTCAATAATTTCTCAATACAATAAGGGTGTAAAAGAATAAAAATATAAAGCACTTACGCAATGCCTTATATTTTAAGTCAAACAAAACTTTTAGAAACAACTTATGCTGCAATCTAGGGGGAGTATATGATTAATATGTTACTTCCTTCAGTTTTTATTATAAGATAAGGCATCTCTAACTATCACATTAAAATTAAGGAGAGGTGATTAAGTTATTAACTTTTTCTCTAAAAATAAAATAAACTTTCAATTTACCCTTATTCAAATGAAAATTTTTCAAATTTACATTACATTATCTTTGATAATTAATGAGTTTAAATATGATAATATTAGAAAAACATAATTAATATATATCTCGCCAACTGTCTTATATTAAAGATTGAATAATCCTCTTACAATGTATCCTATAATAGAAAAGGAGTACATTTCCAGCCCTGGCATATTTCCAAAGACAAGACATATTTCCCGATATAACTTATGATCTCCTTATGAAACAAGGAAAATATCTCTTAATTGCAAAATGAACAAACTAATAAGGGCATATATATCACTTAGCAATGTGGAAGAAAAATAATTGATGCTCAGACATCTTGCTAAGTGATTTATATTAATGACAAAAAACCTGTTTTTTAAAAAATGACTAATATGTCAAGGAAAGAAGTAGAAGTACTTTAATAAAATTAACGAAGTTGTTATTTTTTTTCCCCCGAAAATAAAGCCTCAGAGGCCTTGCAGTTTAGATATATATATATATATATATACACACACACCGAAGTATTAGAATATTACTCAACGCGTTTTTTTTTTTTGGCCTGATCACATCAATATGTTTAGTTGCGAGTGAGTGACTCAATGAACACAATAGTCTATTAATTTGTTAATTAGTTCACAACGTGACCTCTTGCCTGAGAAATGTCTGTCCCACTCTTGTCTAGAACATATTCTTGCGCACAACGTTGCTACTACAAAGAACCTGAATAATTAAAGTTTCTTCTTTTCATTGGATATAGTTTTAGTTTTTTGTTCCTTTATGTACTGTTTTATTTATTTTTATGTGTGTCATGTATATGTGTGTATTTATTAGATTCGTTCCATTGAAAAAGTATAGTACATGTCTTTGTGAAAAAAAAATAGAAGTGAAATTTCTTCAATCAAATTAATGTGGTCCTAATAACAAAGAAAAAATATCTCTATTATGAAAAAGAAATTTAATTTCATTGTCTTCCTTCTCATAATTGAAAGGCAAGAGAGAAGGATGAGGAGTGATCTGAAAAATCTTCCTTGTACATTGTGGGGCAGCTTGTGTCTGACAAAATGTTACAATCAGTTTCATCTCATCTAGGCCCCTACTTAAAACTAAGCAGATTCTTATACATGAGATTTATTATTTGTTTTTTTTTTTTTGCTTTCATTTTTTGGGTTTTTAATTGAAAATAGAGAGATTTTGGAGGCTAATGATGTTAATTTAAACTAAGAAAGAATAGCCCAGTGGTTTTGGTGATGAGCGCAGGGCTTAGATTGAAGTCTGTGTAAGCGAAGATCCTCAAGAATGAGACGAGTCTCACGACGACGACAAGCATCGTTCCAAAATTTCTCGGAGACGATGATGTTCGATGCTTCGTAGACTCCTCTAATTCTCTCATCTCGTCCATCACTATCTGTTGGTTCCTACACTCTATGCTGCAGAATCCTTGGTCCCCTCTGCATCGTTCAACCAAATTTCCAAACTTTCATCACATGTTGTAATTAATAACGTCAAACACCCCAGGTTTTCCATGTATATTAAAACATCATCAGATTTTACTCAAAGCAACAATATACGTGCGTATTAACCCAGAATCAGATACCTATCAAACGAGAACATGAAAGACAGAATATAACTCATGTTACTGTCTTACACGTGTTTGTTAATTGGCATTCCAAATTATAAACTGGGATTTCCATGAATTTCTTAACGAAAATATGGCAGTGTAAATCTTCAGAAAGGAAATACATATATATACACAAGACGAACCCAACTAAGCAATAGACTCTATTCACACTAAGAGCTAGCCCATTTTTATGCTAAATTTAAACTTGAAACAGTGTCTGATACTTGATCAGAAAATTTCACAGGTAAAGAGAGATTTTAATTTGTTAAATTAACAGTACCTGTACATGTAAATATCTTTGTCATGGCTGAGAATCCTGCTGCAGAGAGAACAGGTTTTGAGAAAGCAGGAGGTGATACTGCTACTATAGTGAGGTTTGATTTTCTGAGGGAAGATTTGACAACAACGTTGTTGGATTTGGCATGTGAATTGGTGATTTGGGTTACGAGTCTTAGTCCGATTCCATCATCCATGGCGATCTGGCTTGTTCTTCTTCTTCTTCTTCCGCCGTCATCGTTACCAGAAGATGAAGAAGTGGAACTCCTTTTCTGATCAGTGAGTTTCTTCTTCTTCTTCTTCTTCATCAGATGCTTCTGGTTCTCTGGCTGCTGGGCTTCTTCAACCTTGAAGGGGCTCATGAACTTTGGAAGCATCCTAAGGAAAATAATGGGAAGGAAGCAGAAGATAATAGTAGAGAGAGAGAGAGAGAGAGAGAGAGAGAGAGAAATTGATTAGATCTGTGAAGAGAAGTGGTGAATATTTAAAGAAAATTTGAACCCACAGATAGAAACACATTATGTGTTCTCACCCTTTTAACTTCTTTCGTGCACTATGTATAACACGTGCTACATTCATCATTCCCAGCTTCCATACATCTCATAGAATTCCGATCCTCACAATTTTTTTTTTTTATATCTTCCTCGTATTATTACAAGTCACCTATAACTAATTTATTAGAATCTAAGAAAAATTAGTTACAAAACCCAGTTTTTTTGGACGTAGGAATTAATTTTGTTAAGAAAGTTTACTCATTGCTCTTAATATCTTGAAAGAGTAAATGATGCTCGAGTACTTTGTAAGAGATATTCTTTGCCCTCGGCAGAACCTGTTTCTTATACTTAAAAAAATGGTTACATCATTAAAATTATTTATTTTTATTAAATTTTTTTTCTAATAAATATCATAATTCATAGCTTATAAAAAAACCCTCTTTATCTTCTAATCGAAAATTGAGTAGGGCATATTTGAAATAAAGCAATTAATAATATTAATACTATATAAATTCTTGTGAAATAAGTTATGTTTAAGACAAATTTGTCTACAAGGTGAAGTACATATTTTTTGCTAGTCTCACATGCATTCTCCAACTATTCATGGCTAAAAAAATTCCAACTAAATGTGAATTACATGAGAAAGAGGTAGATATAATATATATGATATATCTTTGTTTAATAAGCAGGACTAGCTCCTAAATCTATCTCTTTTCAGGAACCAGACCATATAATTAAAAATAATGGAAATTAATAATTTTCCTTATTAGATACTTTTAAATTTCTAAATTATTCCTATGTTTATAAAGAACTCAAAATATAAGACAAAAATAACATTTTGATTTTATTCTCTCTACAGGTTCCTATATTTTAATGGGAGGATGACATTTAGGTTTTGAAAGATCTATTTAATAACAATTAGATTCCTATAAAAAAAAAAAAATGAATTGTGAATATAGATTTAGATAATTACAAATTCAGAAATGTCAGTTGCAGATAAAACATTTAAATTTTAAATGTAATTTTTTATAACTAATGTTTTAGTCAATATTTCCAATTCAATTCTCAAAATTTTTTAAATGCCTAATTATTATTAAATCGATATTATAGGACTTAAATGTAATTCCCTTATTTTAATTTTATTCTAAGCGAAGCTGTATTTCAACTTCCATCATACATATCTGGTATTGCCTACCCTTTTCCATTTCAGTCCACAGTCTACATACGGGACTTTTTTCTATGGGCAAAAAATTGTATTTAATTAGTACAGGATGTGTAACATGATATTTTAATTAAAAAATGATGAAAAAAATTTAATGATATGACTATCTTATCCTCTTATATTTAAAATTTTCATATCTGCCATGATTGTTGAAACATAAAATAAATATAAATATAAATAATATTACCTACGTTTCAAATTATAGGATATTTTTAAAGAAATTTTTTCATTTTAAAATATAAGACACTTTGAATAAATTAAAATTTTATTAAATGTATCAATTTTAATATTATCCTTTCTCTATTTATAATTAATTTCTGTTACTTTTTTTTCAATATATTAAATGATGAATATTTTTAAAAATTTATATTTTTATTTTAAAAAGATAAGGTTGTTAAGTATATTTAATAAAATTTATTGAATGTAAAATTTTATCTTAAAATATTTATAATTTGAGAGAGAGGGAATATATTCTATAACGCAAGCCAAAATTAAAAAATAAAAATAATAATAGTACAATGTGCCGGTAATATGCACGCGCGTGACTAAAGTATCTTGCAGACATCTCAGTCTTGAAATATTAGTATAAATTAGGGACAGCTGTTTCAAAGTTAAAATACTGAATATAAATATATCCCATGCAAAAGTATATATAAGAGCATCTGCCCCGGTATGAATAAAAATATAACAAATAGTGCGAGGAATATTTTGAAAATAATGAGAAGAGTGAGTAATAGTTGTATATATGCAATAATAAAAATTGAAATAGTTTAACAGGTTGAGAGAGAGACAAGCAGGTGAGGGATATTGTGGCAGAGAAGAATATAGTAATGCCATGCAAAATAATTTTGCAACGAGATTCCTTTGTTGTTTTGCGGGATACGTTGATGGCTCAGTTTCCATCAACCAAGAATCCTTACCCTCATTTGTTTATTTGTAAATTTCATGAAATTTATTTTTTTATATTTTATAAAAAATAATTTTTTTGTCAAAATAATAAAATAAAAAATAAAACAATATAAAAAATAAAATAAAAACATTTACCAGCTTTATTTTCACGGGAGACACAGAGATCCCCAAAGGCACCCATTAAGGAGAGAAAAATATATATGTTGAGGTAACGTAACACTTAATTCCTCGAAGTTATATGTTTAAAAATATAAGATATTTTTAATCTTTTAAAGTGTAATCATTAATTTTTTTTTCAAAAGTGCCCATATTAATAGTAATTTTATATTTATTATACAGTGTTTAATAATGATAAATATAAAAAGATAGAGTTAGTAGATTGAGAGGTAAGATTAAATTAAAAATGTTTCATATTTTTGAATGGAGGGAGTACTTTTCAAGAAAGTGTGTGATGTGATTTAGCTATCACCTAAACATCTTTCCTCCCCTTGCGCACAAGTGTAACTATATAAAGTTACACAAGTTTTCCTTCAATTATGCCCATTTTTAACATATAAAATGGCACAAAACTCTCGAATTATTTTGCAAGCTGGGTCTGCTTATAACAATAAATAAAGTTGTTTTTGTATACTTATAAGTTAACTATAACAGATTTTATTTCACTATACGGAATTAGCTATTTACATCACGCTGCTTGTCATGTCCGAATAAATAAAGTTGTTCTTATATATTTATAAATTAAGAATAATGAATTTTATTTTATTAGATGGAGTTAGCTATTTATATCACATTATGTTGACGATCAATTAAAAAAGTTTAACTATCTGTGTGCGCAACTGTTATGCACGAATTTGTTGTTATCTGAGAAATTATTGAATAGATATGGTGCATAACACCACCTATAGTCCATCCAATAAAGCATGAACATTAAATATAAATTAATTCTGATATTATTAATAGTAAAAAAAATAAAAAAATTAAATAAATATTTTATTATAAAAATAAAATTATTAAAATAATGATATATAATATTTTATTTGATTGAACTGGTATAATTTTATTGAATAAATGACTTGATTCACTAAGTCTGAGAATTTTCCGTTTGTGTGTTCTAATTATTTGGTAACAAAGATCTTTACGTGGATAAAATTTGTCCTGCGTACAAACAAAGTAGATGATGTGTACTAATCCCTCCTCAAAAATTTAAAACGACAAAAAAAGGAGATGATGTGTCACCTCTCCACGATTAACATCGAAAACAAAAGTAATTCGTCGGTAAGCTAAGCATGTTGCGCAGTTAGTAATTCATGTTTGATATTTACATAAATTGATCCATGTGACTAACCGACTTTAATTCAACTTTCAACTTCAATATGCGGTGAACACAACTCAAGTTTAATTAAGTTGACACATCTTTTTCTTGAAGAATGTTTGCACTGATTTGTTAGTAACTTTTCTATGTCAAAAATAAAGTTAATTAGTAACACATCTATAAACTAAACTAATATAGTAGTCTAGCCCAAAAATAAAAAAACACAAGTTCAAAGATACGCTTGGCGCTAAAATCTCAAGAGTTAGTACTTTTAATGTAACATGTCAGATTCTAGTATGGGACAACTATATATATTTATAAGCAAATACGCCATTATTATAGAAGTTTTAAGCAATTAACTATAAAATCCACTCAATAGAAACATACTTCTTTAGTTCTATTCATAAAGAGAGCATTTGTATAGTCTTATCCATCTATAAAGCACTTGAAAACTCGTTAAATATTTAGACCAAATTAATGTGGTTTGCAATTTTTTTTGATTCCAATAAAATATGTTAAAAAGTAACCAGTGGGAGAATAATGTATTAACCTATTTTAGATGAGTTTCAAACAAAATATTAACATATTATCAATTCATAATTTTACTTCTAAAAAATCTAAAAACATCTTAAATTTTTTTTTTCCCTGAGGAGAAATAAAATTCCTAGAAGCATCCCATCCATATCTAAGTTGCACATGCACAGAACATGTTGCAAAAGTGGGGGAGCAGACTCATGTATCCAGAGTCACAACACTACCTTGAAAAGAATAAGAGGAAAGACATGGCTACAAGTATAGTTGGATAAGCTCATCACTAACAACGGAAGGAGTAAGAACACCTAAATCAGTGAAAAGCAGAGTCAAATATTGAGGAGGAGTGTAATCCCTCGCAGACCTTTCAACCTCAACCTTGGATGGAATAGGCACACCAAAATCAATAGGTAGCAAGGCAGGGGCCAAATCCTTCTGGTCCAGAGGATAAAGACGAGCAAACTGCAGAGCAAGACATGCAAAACATGAAAACATGGAATATCCATTTCCGAAAAATATGCCATACTTGTGGAGAAGGATCGAGGATGTGTCGTGTGTAATCAAATTTAGGAACAAGACATATAATAATAGTCTCGAGTGTGTGGTTTATATACCTTGTAGCTTTCAGCTGCCACGTAAACTGGTTTGTTCATGCAGTGTGCAACCAATGCAATTTGGTAGGTTCCCATCATGTTAATTATACCCCCACTCTCAACCACTCCATCTGCCCCCACAAATATCATGTCCACCTCGTCCATGGTATATGCGACTGCAGAGTCTATCAGAAGTTTAACGGGGATGTTAAGTTTGACCAGTTCATTTGACAACCGCAAACCTGTCCGGTCTGGCCTTCCCTCTGCAAATTTAGGAAATGGAAGTTCGAAATTTCAGAGCTACAACTATAACTTATAGTTCAAAATGAGTAAAATCAAAGGAAATTGTGGTAGAAATATAGTTGCACACCGACCACTGGCTGGGTCCTCAGAATTTAAAACACACACACACACACACACACAAAAACTCTCCTGTTAGAACTTTTTTAGAGAACCCAGTATAGAATATGCTTTTTATAAGACTGATTATAGGAAGCCACACTATTCACAAGCTAAGAATAGTGTGACTCATTCCTCAATTTTCATGTAGCATACGAGAAAATATGTCCAGTTTAGAGGACAAGGATCGTGAAATAAAATAATTTGATGAACTGTTCTTTCTAAATATAAACTGAATCAATGTCTAGTAAGAGTCAGAGGGGAAAACCTGTGCAGAAAACCCGAAAAAGTTTCTTATTTTGTGCTGCCAATTTGAGAACTTCAAGGACAACTCTGGAATAACCGTGAACTAAAATTGTACAGCCATCAAAAATAAAATCTTGAGCCAGCATTGCAATAACCTTACGAGCCTGCAAAGCAAAGTAACTTTTGCAATAATGGGCAGAGTTGAATTCATGATCCTCTAAGCAACCAATTCAATGACTCACCTTGTATGAGATTTCGCCAAACTTTTCAGCGCGTTCAATTAATCGTAACCTTGCAGAATTGAAGTCTTCATACTCTAAGGCAGAGGTCCTGGTCACATATCGCATAAACAGATCACAGCCAGCTGTCAAAGAGATAGAGGTTGTATCCCAGGACTGTACAACAGATATCAGTTAACAATTAATCAGATAATTCAGAAACCCTGGAACAGCAGCACGGCTGCATATATTTTCTACTTTTAACCTCTATGCTCATAGGACGCTTCAGGCTCTATATAGATGACCTTTCAGCACATTAAAACTGAAAAGAAACACCAATCAAAGAATAAAAGCAAAATTCACACTAGACTCCAGAGGTAGTTATTTTGTCCAGAGCACACCAAAGTAGTAGTCAAACGCAATATGTGCCCTTAAGGCACTAGACTTCTAAATGCAAGGCAAGAAGCACTAAAAAGATGGACGCCCAAGTGAACCAGGGCGCCAAACCAAAGTAAGAAAAGGTGCACTACATAAACAAGAAATAGACAAATGTAATTTGAAGAGTAAGAGGCAGTGAGTGCGATGAGTTATGAGCCTTGATATTGCACCCAGCACAATATCCTTTTTCCCTCTCTCTTCTGTCCAGATTCAGGCAACAAAAACAGTCTAAGGAGAAGAGAAAAGTGTAGTGAGTGATCTGTGAGCCTTGAACTCCTTCAGTTCTACCCTGAATGTTCTTCTTCCTCTTGGTTATGTTCCAGTTTCTGCTTTAATAGTTGTTTATTTGTTCCAGCGTTTGTTTACAAACCCTTGGTAATAGCCTAAATAATCTTTTAAAAGAACAGTATTTACCCTATTCTCTTAAATATGAAAGGCTGGGCTTATAAGCTGATTGCCTCAAATTAGTAAAGCCTGTAAGGAACTCAGGAGCACACCTTTCATAAGAGAAAAGGCGCAAAAGGTGGTTGTCTTATGGTTCCCTATAGAAGCCATCACCTCACAACGTGAAGGTGCTGTAACAAGATGGCGCTGAGGCAGTAACACAGGAGCACACGCAATTCATAATTATTAGAATTCCTCATTTCACTCTTAATAAATTATCTGCTGCATCCGCATTGTGATTTGGCAGGAAGCAGATATTGAGTGAAGAAATTAATGAAGAATAAAAATGGTTTAACCTTTCCATATCAAAGTAGTTTGTAGAAATCTTGCTACTGTAAAATTGTTACAAATCCACATTAAGAAGGCGTCAGCTCTCAAAAGGAGGTGTATTGTTATAAGTCCCACATTATGGGGAGCCTTGCCTGTGGAAGGGGGCTTGCAAACAGCTCCTGCCTTATGGACTGATCTTTTAGGATCGTTCTCCCTTTGGACTTAGGATCCCTGCATATGGTTATGAGTCCCATGTTGAGGCACCTAGCCCGAGAAGGAGGGTTTGAGTATAAAGGGTTCCTCCACCTAACGAACCAGTCCTTGGGGTAGGACTATTTTTTAAGTCTATGCACTTGACGTTGGTGCTTGCTGAGGCACAAAGAGGGCCCACCTACAAGTTGGATTAAGATGTGGTGCGAGAAACCACTCAAAAGGCTGGAAGTGGAGCTATCAGGGAGGAAAGAACCACTACGGTGGTGTGGTCTGCCGCAAGCTCTCCCTTATTTGGCATACTGGGGAGCCTGGCCTAGTAAGGATTAAGGAGAGATTCCCTCATAAGTCACAACTCAACTAATGGATTGTTTTTTTAGATGGCCTCTCCCTTGAGTCGATTCCACAGAAAAATTCAGCAGATAAAAGAACGCACAATTCAATTCATTCTGATACACACACTCTATTCTCAGGAAAAAGAAATAGAATTTACATTATCAAATACCAAATGCTTCGTCTATAAATGCAGCCATCTATTTTGGGTAAGAAGCTTCTTCCATTGTAACTCTCTTAAAGGTTGTTACTTTACTTACTTTCAGAGAATCTGAAGCCTTCTTGAGCTCAATTTCCAGTTCCATCATCGTCGTAGCTTTACTTGACCTAATCACAGCCGCCAAGGCGCGAATAGCCGCGACGGCCTCGGCCAAATCGGGCTGTTTCCGCCAGTTGTTGAACTCATTGATCACGCTGAACGGCTTATCAGGATCTGACACCCTGACATCACTTCCCGAAATCGCATTGCCATCAGGGTGATGGTCAATAGCAGCCTGAGCCTGGGCGAGCCAATCGCTGGAGATGGCGCCATGGTGGGCCGACCTAGTCTGATAGTAAGCAGAAATGTTAGGGTTAGGGTTGGGATTTTGAAGGGCATCGGCCATGGAAGACCGCGTAGTACTACCAGGAGGAGAAGAGATTGAAAATGTGTCAGGTTGCAAAGCTGTGTCGTTTTGCTGCCTGCTGTCGAGGATGAAAGATGCTGATCTATACCACATTTATTCGTGTAGGAATGGCAAAGCGAGTGAGAGTCGTCACTTTCTCGGAAAATATTTTCCTTTGAGAGAAAAATGAGGATAAAGGAAGCACTTTGCCGCAAAAATGTTGTAGGAATCCGATGCGTAATGAAATGGAAGATTGGGATTCTGCGATTGCAAATCACTGTTTAAGAGAGGGGGAGAGAGAAGATAATGGTGCTAGTGTTCTATAAGCGATTGTCAAGAAGCGTCTGCCGCTAAAACGACCTCGTTTCAGGTTTTCTTGCGTTTCAAGAAAGTTAAGCACGATTATTAAATTTTAATATTTTTTAAGTATCCATCATTCAACGTTTTTAATTAAAATTGTTAAAATGTGTTTCTCACCTGATGCTTGTAAGAAAATCTTGATGAGATTGACAACTAATACTTACATTGAATGCGTAACGTGACAAGAAAAGAATAGAGAAATACTCCCTCCGATCTGCTTTATTAGTTCGCTTCTAGAAGGTATATTCAGTCCACAATATTAGTCATTAACAGATTAAGACTTTGCATTTCAAAATGAAATTTTGAAAATGCCCATCCCACTTTACATTGTTCATTGTCTTTGTCAATCAGCTGGCATGCTCTCTTTCTCTCACTCTCTCTTCTGCTTGTTCTCTCACCATTTTTGCTCGCTCATTGATCGCCTCTCTGTCATCGAGCTCATCATTCCTTTGTCGCACTTCCTCTTCTGTTGTACAAATGTCGCTAATCATTTTGTGGTTCGAAATATCATTGAATCTTGTCGTTCAAATATGATGGAAGAGCATTTAGAGGGTCTGTCATGGGATCAACTAATAACATGTGTAGTTGACGATTCTCTTGCTGAGGAAGAAGATTCATGCCCACTCGAGTTCTCTGAGAGGTAACCTCTCTGAATTGAAAGATTTTAATGGCTCCTCGTCCGAATGATTCTTCCTTCGCGTCTTCTAACTTTGTTGAGGTTGTGCATGAGAAGAAAGCTCATCGTTTAATTTGAATGAAGAGGCAGTCGAGGATGGTGAAGAAGTGAGCAGTGGCGACAGTAGATGCGATGCAGTTTTGGGGTTCACAAAAGCAAATGAAAAGAAGACGATTATCCACCCTTTCAACTTGAACAAATTTTCATTCCCAAAGGAAGATTATACACATCTGATTAAGGAGGAGAAGGACCGTAAGCAATTTGTGTATGACACTTTGCATTATATACTTTGACTTGTCTCAAATTTTTATGCCTTTTTTGTAATTTTGGTTAGCCTAGAATTTAAGGTTATACTGATCAAGGAGTAAATGTTAAGCTCACAGTTTGTTAGTATAATGGATAATGATATTCTATTCTGTTAATCCATTTCTACTCTCTGTGTGTCTCTGTTCTGTAAATATGATGGATGATGATATTTTGTATGAATCATTACACTCGAATCTATTATAGTGAAGTTGGCAATTGAATTTATTCCTATGTTGAATTCTTGTTCGAGCCCCTTAAATATCAGTTTTGTTTTTAAACTCGTGATAATACAAGTTTAAATTGAGCTCATTCTTCTTAATTTACAACTTGAGCACAATTTGTTCCATACTAGATTTAGTTTAATCTCAGCAATTTGTTCTTATCTTGAGTTCTTGCCTAAGCCCTTGAATCTCAGTTTTGTTTTTAGTGTTGTCACTAATTAATACACTTGTTCAGATTTTCTCCTATTTATTAAAGCAACTTAATTCATTGCACGAATTAATTTGTCTTGCGTCACTTGGTTCAGATTTTCATCACTTTGATCAGTTTCTATCTTTATCTTCTTTGTTTAACATCTATTAGAAAATATAATATCTAGAATCAAAGCCTTTAAAGCTCCTATCTCTTATAAAGATTCACTCTTAAGCTATAATGGCTGCTTTGGAATCCATGAGACTAGAGACACTAGGCATATAAATAACACACTTGCTACAGAGTTAGACAAGGAATGGAATCCATCCAAAACAACCAAAAAACTAATGGAGCGATTTCCAATAGTGCCAATCTCAAATCATGAATGAAAGAATATATGCCTTCCCTAGATGGACGCCTTGGTGATAAACACTCTGGGCATCCACTTACATCCTAGATCTCTCAAGCCCAGACTTGCCAAAATGTGGAATTTAAAAGATTTTGAGGTTATTGATTTAAATAACAATTACTATATAGTGCGAATAAAAAATTTTGAAGCCTATGAAAGAATCCTTAATAGTGGTCCATGGACTATCTTCGATTATTGCATCCTAGTTCAGAGATGGACACCACAATTCAATCCTAACACTAACTCTCTGGGCAAGGTAGCACTATGGGTTCGGTTATCTATCATTCCCATCCAATGTTATGATAAAGAAATACTTTAGAGAATGGGAAATTGCATCGGAAAAACCCTTAAGGTGGATGCAAATACCTTATCTGAAGTAGAGACGAAAGATGCCATGGAAAAAAATGAACGAGATAAATTCGCTAGAATTAGTGTTGAAATAGATTTACAAAAGAAACTGGTCCCCAGACTTCTCATTAGAGATGAACTATACAATGTGGAATACAAAAGCTTAAGCCTAATTTCCTTTGGCTGTGGATGCTATGGACACAATAAGAATATTTGTCCATTTAATCCCAAGAACAATCAAGCAAAAATAGGGCAGGAAGATTTACATGCAGAATCGAATCAACATACTAATCAGACTGGGAATCAAGGGACTTCGATTAAACCTGTTAATCCCATTAACAGAGGCTCATCAAAAAGCACTCATCAACACTTACAGGCATAAGATTGTGGCAAATGGATAAAGGTCCAACAACCAAATCATGCTCAATTCTCAAGGTTTACAATGGCTACAAATCCAGGCCACATAAATCGATCAGAGCACCTAAACCAAGGTACGAATTTCTCTAACAAATCTTGATTTGACCTCTTAGCTAAACTTGATTAGATATATGAAGACGATGGGTGATATGGGGAGACTAGAAAGCAGAACGTTCTACCTATGGACCCAGCTACATCTTCAAAAAGGACTGTTAGATAGGTATGGTAGAAAAAAGATTTTTCTGGAGCCAAGAGATCTCGACTGATAGAGAGAGATGAAGTAGGGGCAGCTCGTAATGATAACAGAACAGACGATAAAGGAAAAAAGAAAATTAACACATCTTGACTGAGATTCGATTGGAGAGGCCCACAAACGCTCAATGCAGAAGCAATTAAGATCATAGAGACTGAGCACAAAAACACATAATCCAAGCCCAAAAAATGTGTTCATTCGGTAGTTAAAGGAAGCAAAAGGGATTTGGGCTCCTTTAAACAGCCTATGAATGATAATTCATAGCTTAAGCCCACAGATGACAAAATTTCTAGTCCTTCATTCACATCTAATCCAAAAGTCTGGAATGAGCTCAAAACGCTAGACAAAAATCATGATAAATCAGCAAATCCTCCTCCTAATTCACATCCAATTCTTGGACATAGCAAGCCACTTGACCCTATTATTGCCACTCAACTACAGCTTCATTCTAGAGACACAGTTCAATATTGACAAAGATATGAAAATTAATGACCAATCTTTATTACTGGAAAATGAAGAAGGCATAGATGATAAGAATCTCATTGAGGAAATTGATGATGATGACCTCCTATCAGAAGACTTTAGTCACACTCCTATAAATGACAACCTGGAAGATGATGAATTCAGCGATGACTCTATCTCTGAATTAAATAATTAATTTGGTTATCAGGTTCTTTTCCTTCTTCCTTAATTTATCTTTTATTTATGGAAATCATATGCTAGAATTGTAAAGGTACCTGCTCTAAAAGCTTTCCTTCACATATTAGAGACCTAACTAATAAGTTTGATACTTAAATTCTCATTCTTATTAAAACTAGAGCTAGTGGTTCTATAGCTAATAATATTATTAAAAAACTTAGTTTCTTTGACTGGATTCGTTTAGAAGCTACTGGCTATACAGATGGTATTTGGTTGCTTTAGAATAATGATGAAGTTAATATTGACTATATCTATTCCAATGTTCAACTCCTTTATTATAAAGTTAATCACATCTCAAAGAAAACATCCTACCTCCTATCTTGTGTCTATGATGATCCTAATCCTTACAATCGGGACCAACGTTGGAATTCTATTAATAATCTTGCTTCTACCATCATTGACCCTTAGCTCATTACAGGAGACTTCAATTCCTACCTTTCTTGTGATGATAAAAATGGTGAAAGCAATTATAATTGGAGGTCTATGAAACTTTTTAGACAATACATCAACTCCTCCAAACTTCTTGAACTTAATTTTGTCGAGGAGAAATTCACTTGGGAGAAAGGTAACACCAAAGAATGAATGGATTGGTCCTTTTGTAATGCTGAATGGAGACTTAAATTCAACCAAGCGAACACGTATCATCTCCTTAAATATAGCTCGAATCATCGTCCTATCAGAATTCAACTTGAGAATTCACCTGATTCTACTCTTATGAAAAACCTTTCAAATGTCATGCTGCTCGGATGGTCAAAGATTTTTTCTAAACTATAGTAAAAGATGCATGGAAAAATCAAGATTGAAAAGAAGGTGCTTCAAGATTTGCTACCTCTGCAACTTCATGGAATAAAAACTATTTAGGTTAATATCTTAGCTAATAATAAAAGAATTTTAAGAAGACTTAAAGGAATCAATCGTAATAGGAACTCAAATGACAGTTACTTCCTTAGGAAACTTGAAAGGTCCCATTAGGAAGACTATAACAAAACACTCCTTCAAGAAGAACTTCTCTGGTTTCAAAAGTCTAGATGCAAATGGTTGAAATGGGGAGATAGGAATTCTAAATTTTTTCATACAATTGCCATCATTAGGAGAAAAAGAAATCAGATATTATCTATTTAAGATGAAGATTGTAACTGGATCCATGATCACTCTGCACTCAAGGACCAAGCTATCTCTTACTTTGGGAAACTCTTTTGTGAAGATACTTATCCTAAGTCGAAATTGTTAACTGATAGGAGTTTTCCACCTCTGTCTCCTATTCAATTAAAGTCTATCCACAGAGAAGTCACTAAGGAAGAAATAAAAAATGCTGCTTTTGACATTGGTGCTTTTAAGGCTCTTGGGCCTGATGGCCTTAATGCTGGATTCATTCAATGTTATTAGAATGATCTCAAAGATAACGTCAACTAA